AAGCCCTCCTTTACCCCTTACGAAGGTGAATATAAGCCTAGGTATTATAACCGACGGTTTACGGTAGCTGTCTCCTGAGTGAGAGTAGTCGGAGGGACGCTTATTTGAAGGAAAGCGCTAATTCGAGCATTTTCGAGTATTGGACATCCATATACTAAATCTATAAAGGGGCAGATTTTAAATAATTGTTTCTCTTGCAAACATCTAAATGCAATAATTAGTATTATTATACATTCTACTCACTATCTGTCTTCTCATTGGCTAAGAGCTTACAGCGAATTTTGGACATCAAGGTCTCGAGAAGTGTTATCAGCCTTGGCTTTCGGTTCGGCTGGTAACGCTTAGCCCGACATTGATTATTCCGGATATCGCAAAAACCTCATCCAATAATCGTTTAGAATCCCTAATATGCGTGCAGTTCCACAGTTGGTTCGGTTCCTTCCATAATAGTAAGTAAGTAAGTAAGTAAGTAAGTAAAGACTTTATTTTATGAGGGTTAGCACGAAATAGCCGGGGCTAATAAACTTGTGGCCCTCTAAATAATAAATAATAAAATAATAATTGAGTATACTAAGCTATGAAAAAATACAAGATTAAAACCAATTAAGAATACAGATACTATAGAATCTACTAAATTATTTAAAAGATAAAATATAGCGTTATAATAATCTCACAGTTCATCAAGTAACTTAAATAGAAAAATGATCAAGATTCTGCTGTTGTTTAAAAAATTCATTCCACAATGCTTTTTTTAAAGAGTCTTACAGGCAAAGATAAGCTGTTCCACGCTTTGCAAGTTGTTACGGTAAAAGTTCTGCCTCCTTCTGTTTCGCGATTATACCTCGGAGAGGTTAGGTTAAAATTACAGTACCTGGTTTTTCTACTGTGGATGTTACTGTTTAATTTAAGTAGATCGTTGAGATAAACAGGGACGTCACCTTGTAATCGCTTATAAGCAATGATACATTTAGATATGAAAGCGTCTTTATAAAAAGGCAACCATTTCAGCCGATTAAACAAGGGAACTGATGGTGCTTGAGGGGGGGCATTCAGGATTACTCTAGCTGCTCGTTTTTGGAGCTTCAGGACCCGCCCAAGGCTTTCCTTATCACAATTAGTCCAAAGGACGCTTGCATAATTAATCACTGGCCTGATCAAAGCATTGTAATAAAGTAATCTTTGTTTAAGGGGCAGATAATTCATAATTTTCTTTAACAAGCCGATGCGCTGTGAAACTTTCTTACAAACAGTCGTAATATGCTCAGAGAAAGATAGCTCTTCATCAATCTCAAGACCTAGTAGCTTAACGTTCATAACGTTAGTTAATAAACTGCCATTGCGAGTAATCTCAGGGTTATTGTTTATTTTGGTCGAGAGTAGCTTTCCCTTCACGGTGAGGACCTTGGTCTTTTTTTCGTTGAGTGGAAGCCTGTTGGCCAATGCCCAGTTAAAAACGTCTGATACAGATGTATTAAGAGATTCCTGCAGTCTTCCCATCCTGCCACAATCTGCTGACGATGTGATTGTAGTATCGTCTGCATAAAGATCTATTTCAGAGGAGCTGACATGAAGTGGCAGGTCATTAATAAAAACTGTGAAAAACAAGGGGCCGAGTATACTGCCCTGGGGGATCCCATGTTTCATAAGCGCCACTTCTGAGACGCAACCACCCAAATGGACAAGCTGGTGTCTGTCCGCCAAATAAGACTGGAACCACTTCATTGTTTCGCCAGCAACACCATATACTTTCAGCTTATCCAGAAGAAGACCATGATCTACCATGTCAAAGGCTTTACAGTAGTCTACTAGCACCATGCCACTAACTCTATTCTTATCTAAATTGAAGAGCAATTCGTCAATTATCTGTATGAGAGCGGTGTCTGTAATGTGATTCTTCCGAAAACCAGACTGGCGAGGATAAATCAGATTGTTTTCAGTTAGATAACTGTATAAGGAGTCATGCACATGTCTCTTGATAACTTTAGAAAGGACAGGTAGCACAGATATTGGTCGAAAATTCTGAACGTCACGTGAGTCACCATTCTTGTACAGAGGAGAAACTTTAGCTGTTTTCCAACGACTTGGAAATGATCCACTGGAAAAGGAAAAGTTAATCAATCTCGCAACAACAGGTGCTATAACAGGTGCCGCTATACGCAAAAGCTGAGAACCTATTTTATCAATGCCAGCAGCTTTGCGCGGATTTAACTTTTGTAACAAAGTAAGCACCTGCGCACTAGTGATGGATGGAATAACATAAGATGTATCAGGACTTTTTCTGGATCTGACAAAGTCTTGCAGCTTTGAGGGGTCAGATGGAACTTGCGGTAATGTAGATCTTAACCTATCTGCTATACTGGAAAAATGAGCGTTAAAATGTTGCGCCATTAGCTTTTTGTCATCTATAACAGCTTCCCCAATATTAATACTGTTAATATCGCGTCTGTTCTTTCCTGAGCCAGTCAGTGTTCTTATTGTCTTCCATATTCCTCTTGAATTTTCGTTTTGCGCTCCTAATCATCGCAACTGCTTTGTTTCTGCATAATGTCTCTGCATAAATCATGGTGGCCATCTAATGACGTCTTAAAGGGGCTATGTCACCCCACACGCATGCGCCAGCCAATGAAAACAAACTTGAAAAAGTCGGCGGCCCGTCTTTTTCAAGTTCTGTCGGAGATTTTGGAAGGCTGTTTTTATCTGTCTAAATCTCAGCCATCGTTCGATAGTTAGCGAAGTTTTGTATTAAGAATCGTTCTATGGTGATTACAGAATAATGTTTTGGCGTTATTTTGAAATTGTTTGCCTGTGGAATGTTTTTACGTGGATTTACTGTGTCCTCTTATCAGCGGCCGTTGTAGTGGCAGAGTTAATGACGGCTACTCCACAATGAGTGATGGAATCGTTGATGGAATCTTCCCTATAGTTCACAGAACCTTTCTTGGATTTTTCTTATGCTCAAAGTATGTGGACATATAATGAAGCGGCTATCGAGTTGGCGGCGGCCATTTTTTGTAAACGATTATGTACACAGGAAAAAATAACGGATTCCCATTTTTGGATATTTTAGGGTATTTAAAGAATACCCATAAAAATCCCAAATTTGGCAAAGTGAGACAAGTCCCAACCAGGGAATTCCCAACCAAGTTCCCTGGTTGAGACTTGTCTCACTCTTCCAAATTTGGGATTTTTGTGGGTATTCTTTAAATACCCTAAAATATCCAAAAATGGGAATCCGTTATTTTTTCCTGTGGTATGGGTCAAATCGAAGCTTCAACATGCCCCCCCGGGCATACCCCGGGCATTTGACACCTTTGTCGTCCCGGGGAGGAGGGAATTTGATTATCAGAGTCTTCCAGGGGGTGGGGAATTTGATCCCCATCCTTCAGGGGTGGGGGATTTGAACTGCACCCTCGATTTCATGTAAAATCTTTGGCGTGGCGAGCTATCATGGGGGACGCGGTGTTAGAGGATTTTCGTGGAAAAGATTGTGCCTTTGTGGCCAGTTGGTTACGAGGAAAGGGCTTAAACAAGCTTTGTGCTGTATTTGAAGTATTTAAATTTTGAAATTTTCAGGCTTTGAATGTATGAATGTATTTTATTGTTGTGTTTTTTTCCGTTGCTTTGCGCGAGACTTTTGTTCGTAGTAAATAGGCTAACAGTGTTTCTCAGTTTCTGTTACATTTATAAAGATTTTGTTCGACAACTGAAGGTGTTTCCACCGTCTTTCTGTCTTTTTTGTGCCTGTGAAATGTCCCCGGGGTGGGGGCATTTGATCACCTGAATGGACCCCAGTGTGAGGCATTTGAACGGCATTTTCGCCCGGGTAGGGGGAATTTGAACAATAATTTTCAAAAAAGTCAAATGCCCGGGGGTTTGCCCGGGGGGGGGGGCATGTTGAACCTTCGATTTGACCGATACATTACAAGAGCATCAGGCCATGAGTTTCGTGACGAAACTAAACTCCTGGCGAAGGAAACATTATAAAATTCGGCTAGATTCCTTCTTGTATTTATCTGGATTCACGGCAAAGATAAACACGACCGTTTGCTCGTCCAGATTGTTCTCAACGGACTTAGAGAGGCACCTAAGTACGAGTTAGATCCTGTACATGCCATGTTTTTGAACTGTTTGTGTTTACGTTCGAGGATATTTTTGGAAAATAGCAGAGTTTACTTTCCCTTTTTATCAACGGACTCCTTATAGTGGAGTAGTATACCAATGATGCTTGGTTCTGTTTTTCTCGACGTCGCAGTGATTCGGCACGATCGAACAATTTTGCGCGATAATGTATGTTTCCCTAAGATCAAAACAAAGACTTGATGTCTCTTGTTCTATCAGCATCTAAATTATAAAATCACTAGCGACAGACAAGTCTAGTTGTTAATGATTTGAAACAGTCTTGGTCTTTATCTTCGGTCTAGCGTCTTTTGTAGCTCGTTTGTAAAATACAACTTCGATTTATTTTGTTGAATAAGACAATATGTTGTTGTTGAATTTTTGTTTGCGCTCTATTTTATGAATGGCATGCGTTTTTACTTCAAAACTACAAGTAAAATTGTCGTCACAATTTTATTCTTGATCTAGCATAACCAGAGAAGAAACGTTCCGTAAATTCTATCGAAATATCCCTTATCTAAACCCATTTCGCTTGTTAACCTCTCTAAATTCGGAGCCTTGAACGTGACAGAACAGAACATGGAGAAAGTCACGCGTTAAAAACAATAGAATTTTGACAGTTGAAAGTAATTTGCATAACTCAGAGCGCATGCTCTCCAGCTGACATAGCCCCTTTAAGGTGGAGTAACTGAAATATACTACGGCAAAGAAAACTCGTCAAAATTCGAAACTGATTTTTCACTGTTATTGTGACTACAACTCGTTCAATTTGTCAATAGTCATGGGTCTAGATGGAACCATGTGTTGTTGTCGTGTATGTAAATCAGTGAAATGTTAGTACAAGCAAATCAGGCGTATCGTAAAAAGAAAAAACTAATTATGCTGAAAGTGGGAAGTTTTTGAAAGTTTTGTTTTGATTTATATCCGACATCAACACAGGTTTTATCAACAACAACAGTTACATAGATGGCCGCTGTAATGTGGCTTACGAGAATGGCTACTCGAAAAACACTTCTCCGCTTTCGGGGAAAAATACTTAATCAAAGAACACTACCTGATGCATTTAGAGAGTTGAGAGTAAGTAAATCATCGATGTTGTTGCGTGGCTATATTTTTTTCGGGATATAATTACTTTCAACTGTCATTGCAGTTGCATTCAGTATTTTCTGGAGAGACACCTAAACATGAATTTGAAGACAAGCCGAAATTTCCTGGGGCTGCGAATGCGTTTTATACCGAGAAAATGGACTTTATTAATCCCGATGACGATGTAATTATCCCGGTGTATCGAGTTATGGATCTTAACGGAAACAACTTTGATGAATCACAAAATCCCAAGGTATCATAAATAATTTTAATAAAGTCGTCTAGAATATAGTATGGCTATTTCGTTTCAAGCTCTGTAACTGTAGCTAATTTTCCGATGAAATTTAAATTTAACTATTCCAAACATTTTGAAGGCTGTAGCGGCCGACGCAATAAGCGGTTTAAAGAAAAGGTTACCGGGGGCGAAGCTGCTTATACGCAGGTATGACCTAAGAAATGTGGAAACGTTTTTAAAAAAAAGGAGCCGTAATCTCGGTCAACATTTGTTGAAACATTCTCGAAAAAACAACATACACAAAGTCTTTGTACTATCGCGAATACACATTTTGCTTGCAGCTCCTCCACTCAACATTGGTTTCACGGGTTTGCTTCAATTTTTGGATCACTGTTTCTCTGCATGATTGATTTTGTTGCGCACGAAAAGGAAAATTTTCTCGCTGAAAAGCCTTGATCGATTAAAGAAAGCAGCTCTTTATCAACACTACTGTATGGTCTCATACTTGAAAGGAGAATTAAGAGAAGCTGCATTCTAGTTCAAAGTTTAGTTGTCGAGCTCAAGCAAACTATCTATAAACGAGTTGGGACGCGTCCGGACAGGTAAGAAAAAGTCTGGTCTATTTTAAACCGCGAAAGGTGAATTGTTTCATTCCACTTTATATTCCGAGAACGGACCTAAGAGGCAAGGCTTTCATTTCTCGTTTCAATTCACCCGGACCACGTGACCCGAAGAGCATAAACCGCGAGTAGAATAATGAGGCCTATGGATTAGGCAGTTCGTTATCATCATCCTTCGACTGCCTTCGAGATAGGCCTCACATGCATCTCGCCACATTATCTTAATTCTTCCAAGTTTTTAAAAATACGAGCCGTTATCCGTTCTAATTGTGTCGGCACATGAAAGGAGTGTACTTCCTCGACTTGGGCATGTTAGTCTCAGGGAAGAATGTCAATAGCAAGTCTATGGCTCGAAGTTAAATTTAAAGACATCCTTTTTAGGTAGAGGACAACACACTGACCGCCCCCCACCCCCCTCATGGACTACCCATATGGATGGACTACCCTAAAATGGACTACGCAGCTGAAGTTTAGTGATTAGGGTTAGGAAACTGAGTGCATCATGTTCCATTAAGGGTCATTAGATTGGGAAAACTGACCTGAAACTTGATTCACTCAGTGTCCTAACCCTAATCACTAAGCTTCAACGGCGTGGCCGATTTTAGGGTAGTCCATATGGGTAGTCGATGGAGGTAGTCCTTGGACTGGGGGGTTAGTGTTTTGTCCACCACCTCCTTTTTCGCATTACAGGCGAACTTTGCCGTTTACCGTTTCAGATTTTAGACAACGGCAGGTGATCCTGACAACGGTATTTGTGGTTGCGCGAAAGTAGTTTGGACTGTGACATGAGAATAGTAAACAAGGGGCGGTTGTCATGATCAGATTTACACGATTAACATTATCTCTTTGTTGATTACCATTGATAAGTAGTATTCATTTTTGTGTTTCCCTAGCTGAAAATGGAAACAGTACAAGATATGTACAGAAAGATGATCCTTTTCAATACAATGGAGCGTATCCTATTTCAGGCACAGCGACAAGTATGTTTAATCCATCTATTTCAAGAGAAAACGTGTTATATACTAGAGGTAATCATTGATTACGGATCCCCGTTCGTCACCTACGGAAAAATTACGGAAACGAAAATCGAGTCGAAAGGAGTCCAGTTTCCCGGCTGAGGTGCTCCTGATAAAATTAATAGGGGCGGCTAATTTGCAGTCGCCCGTGATAGCTCGAACATTTCTGCCTTAATGCCACAGGATGCGCCCTGACGAACGCAATAATCTCTACGCGATTGGATTCCTTTCAAAATAACATTAGCAGAAACTAGAACATAAAATTGTACAGCCTTCCGGTTAGCTCAATTGGTGGAGTGCCGGTCTGCTCAGCAAGAGGCCGCCCGTGAGCTTAAACCCTAGCCTGAGAAAACAGCCGACATTTTGCCACGTCACCATTGATTTCCCCGCGAAATGACGTCTGAAAAACGAGCGCAGAAATTCCATACTGATGACGCGTCACTACCCAGATCTGGGTAGTGATTCTTATCGGTTGAAGCAAATTTCCCACGCGTTACGGGCCAATCAGAAGCACTACTCAGATCTGGGTAGTGACGGGTCATCAGTATGGCGGAATTTCTGCGTTTGTTTCTCAGACGTCGTTTCGGCGGGGAAAGCAGTGGTGGCGTCGTGAAATGTCGGCTGTTCTCTCAGGCTACTCAAACCCCTGCTGGACCGTCAATCAAGATCTTTAATATAGAGAGATTTAGCCAAGGCTAAAAGCGAAGCTCTTGAGGGATCTTTTTAGAAATGTCTTTCTCAAGTAATTTAATTTTTGCCGTCATCAGAAAGCAAACTGAGTTCCACATTTAAAAAAGTGGACCGGACCTGGCGATAAATTGAAAACGAATAACTGGTCAGCGGATAAGTTTAAAAAAAAAAGGTCGCCTTAATGAGTTGTATCTCTGAACCCGCTATCAGCCATGTGACACTGGTCAGCAGATACCTTTTTTGACAGCTGTCAATTGACCATAACATAGATGTCTAATACCACGTTAAACAGAGATAGCATATGCCTTGGACTGCTAGCAACAGCGCGCGAGAGCTCCGCTAAGACTAGTGAGATCATGATTAAAGCTTTTTCTTAGTTCAGATGATGGTGTCATTGGGCGGTGAAGTTAAACCGTTGGCCTTATCTCCTTCATCCTCCATCCTCAAAAAGAGTAGGGGACTTAGGCCTCGGTATCATGGTCTATCTGACTTGTATCGTCATCGGTCTGTGTAGGCAAGGTGAGATTAACATGGACTTAAGCGGCTGAAAATGCGTCTATACACGCTGACGTCCAATCTCACTGCTCTGTTTCCCACGCTATTCAGCCACCGGCTGGAAAGAAAGGAAACTGACTGACACAATTTCCATTTTCATTTCACAGGGGCGGATATCATTTTACTTGACTAACGATGGTGAAGAAGCTACTCACTTTGGTAGTGCTGCTGCCCTGTTGCCTGAAGATGTAATATTCGCCCAGTACCGTGAGGCTGGTGTGCTGATGTCAAGAGGCTTCACCATAGACGATTTCATGAGTCAGTGCTTTGCTAATCAGAATGACAATGGGAAAGGACGACAAATGCCTGTTCATTATGGTTCTAAAGATCTTAACTTTGTCACTATCTCATCCCCCCTTGCTACGCAGATGCCACAAGGTTAGTTTGTGGTTAGTAAAAGTTATGTTAAGGCTATCCATGAATTTCAAACATCCGTTTGTAAACTAACAACAGTATGGTGCTAGTTAGTTAGTGAATGAGATTAGGCTTTGAAAGGCAGCCCCTAAAATGAGATCCACTTTTACTTATTAAGTAATGACATGTTTTGTGTCATAAGGCATGACAAAACTTATAATATGAGGGAAATAGCAGTGCCGGATCCAGACCTTGAGATAAGGGGGTGGGGGGACGGTCATCTAGACCCTTAGATAAGGGGGGCGGTAATCCCGGTCTCCAAAAACTTTTTTTCGGCCCTTCGGGCCTCAGTTTGGTCTAATAATAAGGAGGGGGCGTGCTCCCCATGGATCCGCCACTGAACAGTACAGTTTATCTTTGCCATCTCCCTGATCGCCCCGTGTAAGGCAGTCCAAGAAAAACTTGGATTGACTGGATTTTGGATTCCACACGCTGTGGATTTCGGATTCATTGTCAATGGAACTTGGGTTCCGGACTCCAATTGTTAGCAGAATTCCATGTTCTTAAGCTGAATTGCGGATTCCAAAGTCCAGGATTTCGGATTTCACATGCAAACATTTCTCGGATTCCGGAATCCGGATTACTTTAAAAGGGAAGACTCTGGCAATATTTTTCTGTTTCAGCATGTGGGTATGCCTATGCAATGAAAAGATCAGGCACTGGAAATTGTGTCATCTGTTACTTTGGTGAGGGAGCCGCAAGCGAAGGAGATGCCCATGCAGCATTCAATTTTGCTGCAACTCTGGAAGCACCTCTCGTTTTCTTCTGGTGAGGTTCAACATAACGATAGTCAAAAAGCTTACACATAATTGACTTTGTAGTTGAAATTATATTCTTAATATGGAATATGCAGTTTTGTAGTGAGAGGCGGGTGTCACCGATTGGATCCTCAGTCGGTTGAGGACGAGTGGTTTAAAGGGTCCGGGTTCGATTATCGGCCGAACAGACACTCAGGGTCTTAACTGAAATAATTGATGAAAAATGTGCAGCCCGACTCTTCGAAATGCAGATAGGTTGACATATAAAAGGACTAAAACTGTAGGCTCCCTATTAAATCACCCTCAGTGATTTGGCCCAGTTGTGGGACGTAAAATAACCCACCATGCTGTTCGAAAAGAGAACAGGACGCATACTCCGGTAGGGACCCGCTTTTTATGGCAACATGCCCAGAAAAAGAAAAAGAAAACTAAAATACTTGACTGAATAACGTTCAGTGATTGCTAAAGGATTTGTAGTACCGATTTCAAAGACCCTGCGGCTTTCCGGCCGGTTTAGCAATAATGATTCAAAAGATTAAAATGGAGAGTGACTTGCTTTGATTTATCTTAGTTTTCGTTTCCGTCAACATCCCAAAGATTTTCGCGCAAACGGTAGCCTAGTTTTCTGTCTGTTTTCAGAATTTAGATCTTTTTAAACGGTAACATTCTATTAGCCTTCTAATATGGCTGTCTCTCGTGGCAATCCGTCGCTGGGAAACGTCGCTGGGGTGAAGGGGAGCGATGAGAGCAGAAAATTGATCTGCAACCTTCCGATTTCAGCCAAGCGAAGTTTCCAACTTCCTTGACAAAGTAACCTCCCATATTGGTTAGGACGTTAGAGTCAAATTAAAAATGGGCTAATAGCACCTAACATTTATCTTGTCAAGCTGAAAAGACTGAAAGTGGCAATTATCAGTCTCATCTCAGAGTTGAATATGTTAAAATACTTCGGTCTTTTGTGATAAGATGTTGCTGAGAATATACACCCCAAGTGGGATTTTCTTTATTGAGCAGCTTTTTTCTCTGTATCAATAGTCGTAACAATGGCTATGCAATATCTACTCCTACGGATGAGCAATACAGAGGAGACGGAATAGGTTAGTAAACCTTACGCTACAAGTACAAAAGTAAAAGGTCATTGTAGGATTTTTGAACGATCGTGTTGTGCAAATTTGTGGGTGGAAATCTGAAGCCAGAATTTTAGGTGTCTGTCCTCTTGGACTGTGGAATCTAATGACAATTATTCGTTTAATACAGGAATGTAACAATAGACATGACCACTGCATCCACTCTTTAAGTCCGCTTAGTACAGATTTCCCCTTTATAAAGGTTTCATTTACAGTTAATAAGGGAAGTAAAACTGGAGACTTCCGCTACTATCCGCTCAAAAGAGGATGTTCACTTAATACAGGTTTCACTGTGTTGACATTGAGATAGTAAAAATTTCAAGAAAATTTCCAAATTTCATCTTGTATAATGATGAGAACAATGCTGTGAAAAAGGTTTCATTTGAATGGTCACACCATAGGATTTCATCTCCACAGACTCAAACGTCAGAACCAACCTTACAAGACTGCATCATTCATGTTAGGAGTGAAGGGCCAGAGTAATTTAAAAGATTGCGCCAATCATCACATTCCAGTGTTTCATGAGCTATGAAGTGTATTAGTATGCAGGATAAGCATATTGTATTCTTTATTTTAAGCTGGGCGTGGCCGGAGCTATGGGATGATGACAATTCGTGTGGATGGCAATGATGTCTTTGCAATTTATAACGTCACCAAAGCAGCACGTGACATTGCAATAAAACAACAAAGGCCCGTTTTGATTGAAGCCATGACTTACAGGTAAGACAGGAACCGATTAGTATCGGCTCTCGGTAAGATAAAGAAGTCGTTAATTTACTCGTACAAGTGCTAATTAACATCTCCTCTAGATGGCTTTCCTATGCAGTGTTGGAAATTGTCAGAGGCAGGAAATAAGTTTTTTGTGCTGAGTCTTAAGAACAGCTGTTTTTAGGCTACGTTCACACTATACCGGATAGCGTTTCGTTGCGTCACAAAAAGCTATCGGGTATAGTGTGAACATAAATGGTCCAGGGCGGCACAAGTCATTAACACACATTATTATTCATTCAAAATATTTTCCCTATTCTGATTGGCTAAAAGCACAAGCATAATTCACCATAACCAGTTACTGATGACCAAATTTGGAAGAATTTTGTGTTTAGCGAGGAAATGACGTCAAAAAATGCAGCGTTTACGCAGGTTAAGGCACCGTTAACCAAGAAGACCTCGGGACGAGGTTATTTGTTTTGATTGTGAACTTGAAAAATGGCGCACATTTCATTCGTTTCAAGAGTCAGTGAAGAGTCGGCTTATAACAACAGGAGTAATCGGTTCGCGCTATATTACCTACATTGAATATAACATCGGAGGCAAAAGCTCGCCTTAACTACTTATGTTGAATATGAAATCTGGAGTAAATGATTCGCACTATACTACTGTGTCGACTTAGAGAAAGACGGTAGTTACCGCCGGCTTGCGCTATACTCCTCATGACGGACTTTAAAAACAGGAGTAAACGGTTCGCGATATACTACTTATGTTAAATCAAAAATCGAGTGTAAACCACGTGCGTCGACTAAGAAAACAATGCGAGTGACCGCCTGCTTACTCTAAATCAATGTCGGCTTACAAACACATGGGTAATATCTTCCAGCTATACTACTTTGTCGGTTTCTCAATTAAAATTATCCAAAATCCCTTCTCCAGGACTGGGGATGACAGCACTATGGCGAGTGATGATAAAGCAATGCACCGCTCATCAAAGGAAGTCGATTACTGGCAAAAAGAGCTCAATCCGATCGTGAGGCTTAGGTAAGTAAACAAAAGGTTATCAAAGTTCCTGGCGTCAAAACTGTATTGTGTACTTTCTTAGATTTCTAAACAACACAGCATTTTGGGCTGAGGAGTTTTCGGTCATTCTCATGAAAGATCATGGGCACGCC